CTGGAAAAGTCCCCAATTCATGTCTTTTTTCGCGCTGGGAATATTACTGGACACGGGATGAGAGAATTCAAATTCGTCAAATCGATTTAGTCTGCTCACGAGTTTTCTCTGCACGACTGTTGCTTTTTTAACTGCACACGAAGCTGGAAACAACGTTCACTGGATGGTTGCTGTTTTGGTGAGTACCCAGATGCACGGCCTGAAAGGAGGGAAATTGATTTCTGAACTATCCCACCAAATGCCTCACCAGTTGGGAGGGGAGAACTGCAGAGAGGGGAGAGGGAATGTCTGTCAATCACGCGAGAGCTAACGTTCCAGACGGACTCTGAATGCGATCGGTCCGAAGGAGTCCTGTACGTGCTTTTCGTAGATGACCTAGTGGATCTAGTGACGAACCGCACTTTCAAATTGGTAAGTGATGGGTAAGAAAGGGGCCAGGCCCTTCTGTAAGGGGGTGGGTACTTAGTCGTATGATTCATAAATCGATTCCCAGCCTTTGGAGCTCTGAAGAAGGTGGATTCTTCGAACCGTCAGCAAGATAATAAACGTTTTTTCCATCCCCCAATGCAGTTAAAGATGCAACAATCGCGCAACAGAACAATGCCCTGTTAACTGGTAATCAAACTTGACGTCTGCTTTATAATATGCCAACTAAAGTTTTGTCGCATTTTCGTTGAAGTAAAGCATGCTAGTAGAAGTATGAAAGAAGTGACATTCTGAAGAGCAACCGTAAATATCCGTTGAAGTTTCAGTATTATATGTCTTTGGTAGCATTGGTGATTCGGTATTAGTTGGGTGACTTCGGTATTAGTTGCCGCGACAAGAAGAAATGCCGGCTATAGTTCTTCCTATCCGATGCCCAACGGTGCGCACTGTCGTCTAGAGTGCATGGGCTTTCCTTTAGTGGAATTGCCCTCAGGTGCAGGGTCGATTTCTTAGATAGTTATGCTCAGCCTGTTACCCTTGGAGAACGTTGTAGGAGCGGGGAAGCCGTTCAGATTATGAGGATTCTATGAAACGCAACTCAGTTTGTAGGCATTCTTGAACCCCTCTGCATGGTTCTGTCAGGAAATGCTGCAGCGCAGTCAGATAAACAACAGGGGTTGTCAAAGCATCGAAATGTGCTGAAGCGCATGTAGCTGGCATCAGTGGGGCTGAACCTTTTCATAACCTGGGAGGGGGAACGGATTAGCGGTACGTTACCATGCCTCGAGAATCGAAATGTGATTGGGCTATACTCAGGGGTTCCAGAATCTGCGTAGATCTCAGTCGATCAAGAATGTTGAGTTCAAGCCATCCGTAGGCTGGTTTTTTGAGGGATTTGCGAATCCTTCCTGTTACTAGGGCCTCTAGCCTTTTCTGCAGACATTACAGTTCTCCAAGATCGCTCGTGAGTGAACATACTCAAGCTCCGCTCAGAGATTCGCTCAGAGTCTCGTGAAAAAAAGACACAGAACATTGGAGGAGCCGTCGAGCACCCGCGCATAGTTTGTCGAAACAGAACAAAGCGTTGAGATCTCATCCTTGAGTCTATTGTTGCTCATTTCTTGGATCCTTGCGCACTCCCGGTTGTTATTAGGCGATCGATTGCAAGAACGCATATCCGAAAGGCACTAGCCAAAACAGGAATCGACGGGACTCGAATTCTCTACTCTTTTTTCTCTCACTTAACTGATTCCCTCCCTCTCACTCTGATGCCTCCCTCTCATGGTCTATAGTCAAAAATTTTGCCTGCAAGATTCTTTGACTCATTTAATGATGACCATTTGTGCTCTTCCAGGCACATCAAGTCCATCTTTTCAGAATGAGCTCAACTTTTCTGATACGAGTACCTATGGGACTCTAGTAGATGGAACACTTGTGAAAGACAGATCTGAAATTATCCGAGATGGAGCACACGTTTTCGTGGGTGATGTTGAATTGACAGTTTCGTGCTTCCTCGGGCAGCAGCGAAGCTTGGATTCCACTCGCAGCGATAATGTACTAACATCATCACAGGTTCGTGTCTGTTTTGTTTTTCTTCTCTTTTCATCAACTTCTGCGTTCGGCTCTCAGGGAACAGCTGCCAAAAGGAAATATAACGCTGGTGATGCACTACAAAAGGAAAGCAAACGATCGAAGCTGAACCCTCTTGCGAGGAAGTCAGCTGCTCGACAATCTTCAGGTAGGTTAGGTTATTCTTGTTGAAATGTCGGCAGGTAACAGTGGGTTCTGCGTTCGCGTATGGCGTGCAATGAGGGCCATTGGTTGCTTCAACGTTCTTTGACCCTGCGTTAAACTTCAGCACAAGTAAGCCGGGATGAGAGGACAAGAACAACTTTCCGAACTCTTTGTTCTCTTGTACGAAGAGCTGTTGTTACATCTATGAACATTTCTAATAAGTTAGCCGTTTTCGCGTCTCTTCGTGTCCCCGATTCCGCTCTTTTTCAGTTCTCCGGTTCCCCAAAACGAACAGTGGGTGGGGGAGGGGTGAGTTATCGATTTCTATCTAGTCTATGTCCCAGATTTGTCGATTCTATGAACACGGATCAAGAGGACAAGGGGTCGGCCAACCCTGCGCTTTCTTACACACACGCTGCGTTCCTGAAGGACTGCTCAAAACACTGGTTGGAAAACGGGTTTCCAGAAGTGTACTTCAAATGCCCCAGATCCCTTCGTGAGAATTCTTCTTTAGATATCTGCATTTCTTGTGAAAAAACCGCTTGTGATTGACGATAATGATGATGACGACGACGATTGTGCTATACTAGCTGAAGATACACCTTACAGGTAAGTTACTTTCATTCTCATTATGACGGGTAAGAGCGGCCTTGGTGGCGTAACAAATAGCCACCCTGTCCAGAAAGCGTGGGACGCGGGTTCGAGTCCTGCCTGGGGTCTGACTTTTGCCGCATTCTTGTGATAACTTTCCCATTCCTTTTTTCCTCCGTTTCCATCCTTTCGCTGTTTCAGTCAAGCTGTGGACTCTGCAAAGAACACTTCCCGCAATATGGTTTCGTTTGTAAAAGAGTCGGTTGGATTGCCTACGGATTCACTAGGTGCCTCTCTTAGGCAGAAACCAGGTGCGAACTTGCGTCAGTGGTTTCACTGTATGGTTTCGTGAGAATTTCGTCTTCCAGACAATATTTCTTCGTCGAACACTCATATTCCGTCAAAAAACACTGCGCGTCGCAAAAAGGTGAGATAATGGGCGCTGGCTGCGTTGTAAGTGCGGCGGCCTACTTAATTGCTTTATTTAGCAATGCATTTTCGACGTAAACGTACGTCCGGCAATGTCTCGATCGCCTATAGTGCTGGCCGAGGATACACAACAGGAGACAGTCGAACCATCGCGTTCCAAAGGGTTTTCTGGCAACGTTAGCCGTGCGGCTGCCAACGTAACGACCTGTATCCCAGACACATGCGATCAAAAGTAAGTATCTTTGAGTGGTTTAGTATTTACATGCGAAGCATAAGGCGAATGAAATCCGTCGTGCAGTGGGGTTCCTCCAGCCGAAAAGCACCTTCACCTTTCGGCCCAAATGGGACACAACCGCCACCGATCAACAGACGGTCTATCACCACGTGAAAAGGAAATATGACGAGGAATGCTCTGGGTAAAGGGTACGCTCAGGTACTCGACGGGGGTCTCACATGGTCGCCGGAGGGAGGGAACCCATCTCAGGAGACTCCCTTACCGACTATTTTGGCGTGCGGGTGAAGAGATGGGCAAGACAGTCGTGATTAGTCGCGTCATCGCGCGAGGCGTAAAGTTAGCGATGTGCGGCAATTCTCAATGAGCAACAGTTTGTCGATTAAAGCACCGTTCGCGATCAGTATTCGAAGTTTGAAGAAATATGCGTCAGTCGGAGAGCTCCTTATCGTAATCAGCTGTGCATATGAGGGCGTAGTTTTGGAGATAGAGTTGATTGGGCACGTACAAACTGGGATCGAAATGGGGTTCTATCTAGGGCAGGTGGCATGTTTTTTGTGCTTTTTTTTGTTACAGTCGAGTTACTCAACCCTTGACGTCTATATGGTACCCCCTAATCCACCATCTAAGATGGCGAATAATCGCGGGTTCTGCCTTTAAAGCAGTGGAACTCGTATAAATTCATGCAGAGATAAGACAGGGGAACGGGCCGTCGGGTCGACGGCGCCGATCGTCACGTCCCGCGCAAGCGCTGTGGATTCTTCGCGATTGTCTTGTCACATACCGTCTTGTTGGAGGTAGTGCTGTTGGAGGAAAGCAATGGGGTTTGTATTAACGTCGGCAATGTTTGACCCTGGAAATCCCAGCCTTCTTGTTCACGTGTCCGGAGGGCCTGGGAGGTCCGCGTTATGGCAACGCACTTTTTGAAATGCTAGTTTCCCTAGCATTTCCTTGCCAGTCAGCTCGACATAGTAAAACGGTAAGTTACTGAGTTCCTGGTGTGAGTACTATGTGAAACAACGTGCACCGCCGGCGCTCACTCGCAACTGTCAGTCTTCCAGTAGGGCGACCAAAATTTCCCTTGTCCACTGATGATTTCTTAATTTTCAGAGCGCCTTTGGGTAGTTCTCAGAGCTGCAATAAGACATCTATATTGGGCAGTAATGTAGGTTTTCATATTTTACTTGGGCATACCTCTAGTCAGTAGTATATTCTGATGTTTGAGGACACTCCGGCAACTGTATGCACCTCAACGTTCGCACCGAAAATCTCCGCAACGTCTACACAAACGACCCGGCCTTCAGGAGCAAATGGCATGTCTTGTAGGTTTGCTGGATGGCACATTCAGCGATAATCGGATGTGTAGAGTTTCATGGCCACTGTGGCTCTCTCTCTCTCTAGGAAGTGTCCCTCCTCTGTAGCCAATAAGGGAGGCAGAATTATTATGGATCTCCGCCTATTTGCTTATCGCGGAGGTGTCTTTGATAATTGTTCAGGAACACCTATAGAGGTAATATGAATTTGTTTCAGCAGTATTTCGTGAAACTTCGAAGCTCGCCAAACCGAAGAAAAACAGCATTTTCGATTCCAAGCCTGTAGAGAAACAACAGCATCCTGAAATTGTTGATGCTTTCTCTGATGATGAGCTGGAAGATATTGCAGTGAAATCTGATATGGTAAACGTTTTTCCACAAAAATTATGAATTTGATCCGACTGAAGACCTGCAGGTTTGCCTAGCCGCCCGTGAAATGTCTCATGGGTAAGACTATGGGCCTGATAGGGGAAAACTAGTGCTAGCGAGGTTCGAAAGCAACTGTTGTTGGAGGATTACATACTTGCCAACCTCACAACACAATTTTGAGTATGTAAGCCATATCCAGTATGTAGGCCATAACAAAAACAATTGTCATAGATTCCCCTCACTTAGCTCTAATATGCCCCCAGCTGTTTTACAAGGCGATAGGTTCTCCTGGCTAGGGGTTGAGAGGCCTTTGCTGGTAGCGTAGTT